TAATTGTTAAAGATAAACTGAAAGTCTTTATTGACGTCTGCAAGCAAACCGTATTTTTTGCAAAATTATGAAAAATGTCGTTAAAGGGGGGATTAGCTGTTAGGGTAAACTGGGGTAAAGTGAACTGTTTTTGATATTTAAAGGAAATATTTTCAAAATAAAAGCCAAAACATTTTGCAGTTTTCAAAATTTATACCATTTAAAGTATTAGGTACAATATAAAACAAAATACTAAGATTAAAAGCTACTTTTACAATATTAAATATATATTCAAAAAAAACATGTCCACTAGTTCACTTTACCCCCACATTGGGGTAAAGTGAACTACTTCATCTTTAACTCTTTTGTGTTTGTTATTTCTAATAAATTAGTTTTTTTATTTTGTATTTTGCCTTGCTGCTTGATCTTTCTTTTAAAGCATTCGTTTTCTTCATCATTTAATCTTTTAAATGCATCTTCTGATGTAAGACACTCACCTCCATAGTGTCTTTTTATTTTTTTTGTAGGTCGTTTGTTGTATGAACGACCATCACCCTTTGTGGCCATTAACTGTTCTTTCACTATTTCTCTAATGATTTTATTTCCAGTAGAACAATCTACATTTGATATTGATAGTTGATTTATTTTTTCATTGTTTAAGTCTTTTCCTACTGATATTATAGTTTTTTGTGAATTGTATTTATTTGTTGATTCAATAGAAAAATTTTCACAAGTATCGTTCTGATCATTGACATTGGTGTCTAAAACGATGTTTTGAGGGACGTTATTATTATAGTTATTTGTTTTCTGAGAAAAACGATGTTCATAGATTTCAGAAGGATTTAACTTGTCAGATGCTATAGCAGATGGATCAAAGGGAAAAATTCCAGTTTTGGCAAAGGATTGTACTAAATGAGCTGGCTTAAAGGAGGTATCATAAAGTTTTTTTAATAAAGATGGAAAAACAGATTTCCCAACCACCTTCAGCCTTGACTCGGTATACCAATTGGCCAGAATTTCACGCCATACATGTTTAACTTGGCGAAAGACTCCTACATCAAGTGGCTGAAGCAAATGCGAACAGTGTGCTGGCAAACACAAAATAGTTATATGATTTTCAACTGCTTTTTTAACAGTTTCTAAAGAAATATGACTAATGTGACCATCAAAGATAAGCAAAACAGGCTTGGGTGTGTCTTTCAACCATAAAACAAGATGGTTAAAGTATTCAGTGAAAACTTCTGTTTCCATCCAACCGTTTTTTGTCACCCCATATAAGGAACCATTTGGTCCACCAGTCATCCACTCTTTATACAAATTCTTCCCAGCAAATAAAATAAATGGAGGAAAATTTCTTCCTGCAGCTGATATTGTTGCTAGTACAGTAAACTGTTCTTTTCCTGATCCAGGAGCAATAGATACAGGGTTTTTAATACCTCTTTTGCAAATAATTTTTTTATTTTTTGGGTTAGTGCAAAACCCACTTTCATCGCAGTTTAGTATTTGGGCAGATCTATTCATAATGTCACATTTTTCCAATGTTGCTTTAAGTAATAAAAACCAAGCATCAATTACAGTTTTATTACAAGCTAAGGCTCTTGTTAATGTCAAAAGCTCTGGAGTTCTTATAGATATTTCTTTCTGCCAACGATTTAAAAAATTACAAAACCACTGATCACCAGCAACACCATTAACAAATTTTTTCTGAAATCCGTTTAATTCAATATACGTTTGAACAAGTTTCATAAATTGTTTTTTATCTAATCCAAATCCAAAATCAGAAAATGCAGATAAAAGTGAAACAAGATCT